GCTGCACAGCCCCTGCGAGGCACGGATGCCTTGCCTTACACAGTCCCCTCTCGCTACCTGCTCCCCAAATTCCAGCTCTGCCCTTTGCTGGGCTGCACATGCACTCTCTGGGCGCCACGGGACACACAGCAGGCTCTGCTGGCCAGCCCTATGAGGACACTGGCCCCTGACCTCAGGCACAGGGATGGGGGGCATCTCCTGGTCCACACCTCCCAGGACCTCTGAGTTGTCACCATGCTGCCTTCTGTCACCTGGGCTGTGGTACAGCCAGCCCGAGCCCCACAGGGCAGCTGCATCCCAATGGACATGAAGGTCCTGTTGATTCGGGCGGGGTGCCTGGGTTAGCAGCAGCTCCCCCAAGAGGGGTCCCAGTCTCTGAGGCCCCTCCCTGTCCCTGGCAGTTTGAGATTAGGGCAGAACACGTTGTCCTGGGGGGTAGCCAACCACCTGAAAAGCTGCCTTCTCCGGTGTCTTCAGGTCACAGGTTCTGCAGATGAGCAGGGTCCAGGGTCCCACAACACAGGACCTCCTCTCCATGCATGTGGCTTGTCCTGCTCCCACGGAAAACAGGACGCCTGGGTGCAGGCTACAGCCCCTTCCCACTTGCAGCATGGAGCAAGGGTGCCCAAGGTTCAGGAATCCCACGGTGGCACTCCCACCTGGGGAACACCATAGGGTGAAGAGGGTGCCGTCAAGGAAGGGTGATCCCCTGGGCCCAGGCACAGCCCCCTCCCTGCCTGCCATGGGGCTGGCACAGGGCAGAGGGTGGCCCCCAGCACACACAAGGAGCTGCTCAGTGCCCCCCAGGCAGGAGCTGTGTATTTATAGCCCTAACGAGCTGCACATGGAAAAGTGACTCTCTGGGCTTCACCAAAAGCCATTTGGTACTAGATATAGGGCTACACTGGATAGATCCTCACTTCAGCCTGAAGAAGAGCAGGCTGAGAGGGGACCTCATCAACACATACAAATATCTCAAGGGTGGGGGTCACGAGGACGGAGCCGGACTCTTCCCACAGAATCACAGAATCACAGAATCGTAAGGGTTGGAAGGGACCTCAGGAGATCATCTAGTCCAACCCCCCTGCTAAAGCAGGCTCACCTAGAGCATGCTACACAGGACTTCATCCAGGCGGGCTTTGAATATCTCCAGAGAAGGAGACTCCACAACCTCCCTGGGCAGCCTGTTCCAGTGCTCTGCCACCCTCAGAGTGAAGAAGTTCTTCCTCATATTCAACTGAAACCTCTCGTGTTTCAGTTTGCATCCATTGCCCCTAGTCCTGTCGCTGGACACCACTGCAAACAGACTGCTTCCGTCCTCTTGACTTCCGCCCTTAAGATATTTGTATGCGTTGATGAGATCCCCTCTCAGTCTTCTCTTCTTCAGGCTGAACAAGCCCAACTCTCTCAGCCTTTCCTCGTAGGGGAGATGCTCCAGTCCCTTTATCATCCTAGTAGCTCTCCTCTGGACTCTTTCTAGGAGTTCCTCGTCTTTCTTGAACTGGGGAGCCCAGAACTGGACACAGTACTCCAGGTGGGGTCTCACCAGGGCACTGTCCTGTGCCCCCTGCTCTGGGTGAGCCTGCTTGGGCAGGGGGGTGGCACTGGGTGAGCTCCCGAGGGCCCTTCCAGCCCCTGCCATGCTGGGATTCTGTAGATAGAGGAGAGGGGCGAGGGGTCGCTTTTTTTGCAAGTCCTCTCTCTCATCAGTGGAATTCACCTTGGTGTAAGGGTGAAGGCAGAGCACCAAGTCAGGCTCTTCAGGGGCCTGAGAGCAGGGGGGTACAACTTCCCACTGGGCATCCGCTCCTTCGCTGGTGGGAAAAGAGAGGGGATGAGGGTGGTGTTCACATTACGAGGTCCCCCCTCTCCCCCTGCTGTGACACTGCACTTCTGCCGGGGTCCCCCATTCGCTCAGCGGGCTATGGAGGGGGGGGTCTCAGGCAGGCATGCCCAGCTGCCGTGAGACACTGCCACACTGGTCCTGCTGGGACCAGTAAGCCTGGCAGGGAGCCCTCCCCGCAGCCCCCCCAGCCTGGCCCAGCGCGGGGGATGCCATGCCAACAGCATCGACCCAGCGCTTGGGCTGTGCCCTTGGGCCGTGCCAGATTCTGACACAGAGGGGAACACGGGGCTCCGCGAGGTGCTGTCCCCTCGGCCTCCGCTCCGGGAGGGGACCGGGATGCGCAGCTGCTGCCGGTGGCTCCTGGAAGGGGTCTTTGCCAGTATCAACAGACCCTGAAGCAAAGGTCCAAGCCAAAGGGCCTGGTTCTCAGGGGAGGGGTGGGAATTCCTGAAAGCCCCTGGCGTTGCCTTGAAAAAGGGTTAATTTTTAATTTTTCAGGCTCACAGGCCGTTTCCAGCCAGCA